GGGGGTGGTAGGGGAAGAAGGGAGGGAGAAGGGAACTGAGATTGTCATGTAATTCAATCTTGTTTGTAATTCACATATATAAAAAAGAAAAAACTAAAAACTAAAAAGTAAAAAGTAAAACATTGGATGCCTACTAACTGTATATGGGCTGACTCTTTAGAATGGCATAACAAAATAATATAGTCACATTACTGCCCTAGTTTGCTGTAGTGCAATTATGACCAAATCAATGACAGGGAGAGAAGAATCTTTTTGGCTTATACTTCCTTGTCATCATCTGTCACTGAAGGGATGTCAGGGCAGGGACTCAAGGCAGATGCTCAGAACAGAAATCAACAGAGGAACATGTTTACTGGCTTGATCCCTCCAGCTTGCTTAGCTACCTTCCTCATAGAATTGAGGACCACTTGCCCAGGGATAGCATGTCCTACAGTGAGCTGGACCTTTCTATACCAATTAGCAATTAAGATCTCACAGAGACACACCTATAGGCTAATCCAATGGAGATAATTCCTCATCTGAGGATCCCCTTTCCCAGATGTGTCAAGCTGATAGTTAAAAGATAACTATAACACGTGAACTAAATCCAACAGAGTCACAAGTATGTGTAGAGTGGGAAATTACCAATACGGAATCAGGTAGAAATATAAGGGTATTTAATAGGGAAAAGCCTTACTTACAGAGCGACCTAGCCAGCCGGCGTGGCAACAGTCTGTACAGCAAGTCCAAAAGAGAAACCAAAAGAGAAACGCAGTCCCACTACATCACCTTGACCACGCCCTCACAAGCATGGCCAGGCACACCTGTAGCCAGCCCCTAAGTAGGCGTGGCTACAGCTTCCCCTACATATGTGTCTACTCCTTTTCAGTCTCCACAATGGAGAAAGAACAGTCTCTTTGATAGTGTTGGTGAAACAGTATCTGAATGCAATAAATGACACTGTATCTGTATTGCTGTGATTTGGATCTGGCACATGTCCTGAAGTCCCATGTGCTAAAGGCTTGCTCTCCAGCTTGGTGTTACAGGCAGATGGTTGGAAACTTAAGGGATGGGGCCATAAGGGAGGTTCCAGGTCAGTGAGGGCATGTCCTCAAAAGGAATTATGGAAACCCCCCATCAGTGATTCTCTATTCTTCCCTCTTTCTTCCCCTCCATCTTTTCTCCCTCTCCTTCCCTCTACAGTTCCCCATCTCTCACCTCCTTGCCTGTCACGCAGTGAATGACTTTGCTGTGTCATGTACTCCTCCATTTCCTTTACTACAAGCCCAGGAACAACTGGACCAAACAGTTCTGTATTGAAACTTCTAAAGGCATGAACGAAATCAAACCTTGTCCTAAGTCTGAAGATATTTGATCATAGTGGTGGAAAGCTAACTAAACTTCTGTGCACTAGGCACAGAAGTCAGCTCAAAATCCATTGGAAAGTTTTACACTAAGACCTGGAGCCATAAAACTCCTCAAAGGCCCAAGAGAGGAATGTACAGTGCCACTCATCTTGATGGTGAATTTTTAGACATGATTCCAGAAGCACCAAAAGTAAGAGCAAAAGGTAATGAGACCATGCCACCCAAAGCACAGCAAATGAAACCATAGCAGGAAGAGAAGCAGGGCTTGTGAGATGACCTAGTGGGTAAAGGCAAAGGCACTTGCTGCCAAGCCTGACAACTGGAGTTCAGTCATCAACCCTGGGACCCCACATGGTATAAAAAGAGAACTGACTCCATCAAGTTGTACTATTACCTACATGTGCACACACACACACACACACACACACACACACACACACACACACACACAATAAATAAATAAATAAATAAATAAATAGATAGATAAATAAATAAATAGTACACATACATAGATACAGGGAGTGGCCTTGTTTGACATTAAAAAGAGGAAAATTCTGTCATCAATAGAAAAGTATTGAGGACATTGTACTAATAAAATAAGCCAGGCAGTGAAACACAAACAGTCCATGATTTCATGCATATACAGAATCAAAAAAGCCAAACTCAATAGAAACAGTAGATGAGTGGTAACCAGAGGGGCTAGAGAATGGGTGAAGTGAAAAGATGCTGGCCAAGGGTAAAAACTTGTAGTTAAATGACAAATAAATATAAAGTTAGTGTGTTGTAGGATTATGCTGTGCCTCTAGATATTTGTTAGTAGATCTAAACATTCTCATTATGAGGAATACACATTGGATCTTTAAAGATTTGTGTGTGTGTGTGTGTGTGTGTGTGTGTGTGTGTGTGTGCATCTTCATGAGTTTATGTGTACCCATAAATGCAGGTTACCACAGAAGACAGAAGACTGTGTCAGATTCCCTAGAACCAGAATCACAGCCCATTGTGAGCAACCTGATATGGTTGCTGAGAAATGAACCCGGGTCCCCTGAAATAGCAGTCATTTTCCAGCACCTCAAGATATGGTTAATATTTTAGCAACAATTTGGTTGTTTCCTCTTATACTTCGATGTTTTCATTTAGGGATTTTAAATCTACTGATCTGAATATCTATTCTGTTTAACACATCCTTATAGATAAACCTACCTACATATATTCTATGCCACTTCAATGCAGAATATATTAGCTGGTGAGAACCATTTTATTGTTTGTTATCTTATCCTCCAAACATATAATGAAACACTATTTATAAGAAATTTTGTCTAAAAACTTTATTGAAGAGAAACCGTAACATGGACCTACAGGTAGAATCTAGAAGATTCTAGAATCTTGAAGAAGTACCGTAAAAGCACTTTGATTCCATGTATCAGTATCCTGATGCTACTGAAACACAAAACACAACTAAAACAATTAGTAGCATTTACCATATATGATGCTTGCTCCTATCATCACCTCAGATAACAGTTTACATGGTCATTCCTGTAAGTGAAGGACAGGCTGCTCCATGGGTGAGTTGCACAAAAAGAGGATGCAGAGGAAATAGGCTCACTTGTTCTCTGGGAGTTCAAGTTCTTGATCACGGTTGCCAACAGTCCTGCTCCACAGCAGAGCCCTTCAGTCAACGCCATATCCTGCAGGAATTGTCCTTGCTGCCTGATGAAACAGATTTCACGATCATTTTCCCCTTATCTTGTTTGTTACCCTTTCTTTGAACAGGTGGACTTTCTCCTGGGTCACTGCCATGTGTGAAATTTAAGGCTTTCCAAAGGACAACTCACCAGGAAGTCACACAATTGCTGATAGTTGGGAAACCATTCAATGCATATTCTTTTCCCCAAATAATATTAGCACTTTCTCAGGAAAGATCCAAGAAAAAGACATTGAAATTTAATATCTTACTGGGCTATTTTCCATATCATCTGTGGAAAATGACTTGTTTACATTATTGGCATCTACTACCATCAGCTGAGCAGTAACCGCTAGTAGAGTAACCAGCCAGACAAGTTCCTAAACGGCTTCCTTACCTAGAGCAACAGAATTAAAAATCACAAATGTTTACCATCAGTGGCAGAGCTCACTCTTGTGAGTCCTGGTGTAACTGAATGGGAACCTGGCTTGGTGACTAATACTGCCAACCCTATCACTGGGGAGGCTAAGGCAGGAGGATTGCTGCAAATCTGAGGCCAGGATACATAGCAAGACACCATCTCAAAATATTTTCCTTAAAAAAAGGATAATAACAAAAATTCAATAATGGAAGTAAAATGAAATTCCAGGATAAGCCAAAGTCTCTGGAAAACTGAGCAGAGGTTGAGTGTATACTCCTTTTAGCATCCTTTTAAAAAAAAGTCTGGTGGGCAATTTAGAAGGAAACTAGCTCTATAATGTGCATTTCTCCCATACCTGTAATGACTATGTTTCCATTATAGTTGAAAGCACATGAAAATATTTCATCAGTGTGCCCCTCCAAGACCTGGAGGCACTGGCCGGTCTGAACATCCCAGATTCTGGCTGTCTTATCAGAGCTGCCCGTCAGGAGTCGGTTTCCTTGGGGATTAAAAGAGATCTGCAAAACAGCAAAAGAGTCGGTAGAAAGTAGAAGTTTGGGTTAACAACAGATTTCCAAAAGCAAACAGAGTGCTGAGCATCAATCTTCTCCCTGCTCTAGTATTTATTTTTAGAACAATTTCTTCCTGATGGGAAGAATATAGGGACTAATATCTGAAAATTGAAGCCTAGATGTTAATGTTTAATTGTTTACTTTCACACAATGCTAATCATAAAAGACCAAAGCACCTGTATACTTTGAGTATTCAACAGTTTCTTCCCAAAGACTCATGGTTCCCTCCTCACCCAAAAGAGAGGCAGAGTTGAGTTACAGATAAAAACAAATCAGGTTCTACCTGTAAAGTCCAATGTCACCTCTGCCACACAACCTTCTGTCACAAAAACCACATAGAACATCCCTCTGTCTGTGCCATAGAAAGAGCATACCTAGGGCTACAAGAGGATTTTCATCTATTGCCACCCAAAATGCATCACTCTCAGATAATGCGTTTGGATGCTTCACTTGGACCAGGTGTTCTCCTTCAGTATCTGAGTGGCAGAGGCACCTGCCACTGGCCCTTGCATTCCTCTGATAACCCAGTGATTACCCTTTCTACTTAACACAAGACAATGATTTGAGTCACTTCAATTGTGTCTGAAGATTTGAGGAGGACAAGCCATGCCTTTTCTCATCACTGTCTCACCAGTGTCTGCAAAATGCCTGGCACAGGGGAAGCTCTCAAAAGGTGATTACTGACACCCATACTCCTGTAAGCTGCCTAATGAAACTCACTGGGTCACACACCCACAAAAGTACATAAAGCTAGAAAGAGTGCTAATTGAAAATAGGAAGGGAGTCCACAAGAGAGGAAGGATCACAATACATTACATAATGTATGAAAATGTCATAATAAATTCATTATCGTGCATACTGAATATATCCTAATGTCTTAAGTGTTTGGTGAACGAATATACAAGATATTAGATGTTTTAGCTCTGCTCTCTTCATAAATATTATTACCAGATAGCAATGTCATGAGTAAATATATTTGCTTAATATGCATACAATTTAATAATATAGAACTCAAAATTTTCTTATAGTCACATGTTCACAAAGACAAATACACACTCATTGAGGGAAATGTCCAACACGACAGTAGCTACACTCAGGAATATGGCCCAGGATACCTTTCCATGCCCTACTTTACCATAGCCTCTTGCCACCCTCTCTTCAGTCCCTGAAGTGGTCAGCATCACCCATTTCCATGGATACCAGCACTTCCAGCCACAGGCAATGGCCATCAGCAACAGGGATAAAGGATGGAGGGACAGGAATACACATGGGAAATGATGGAATCTTGCTATAGCCTTCCAAGTTCTGAAGCCATCAAGCTATTACTTCATAAGGAAGGGGTAGATAAAATCTTACATATAAAACCAAGAATTCAGGCAGGACTGGGAGGCAAGAGCCCTGCGTCCCAGCATACTCTGTCATGTCCAGGGACACATACAAACCTCAGACTCTCACTGAGTGGCTCTGCTCTGTGAAGCTTCTAAAAAGTGTTCTATAAAACCCTAAGATACAGCCCTGTCGTTTCAAAATGGGTAAGTTCATACTTTGTTAAATATCCCTAAACATCACTCTTTCCATTACATCTAATTTTCAGAACCCTTGAGGCACCGCATGCTTTTTTGCATAATACAGACTTGCATGTTTACTAGAACTAGAAAAAAAAAGCACTTTACAAGCTCCTTAAATTGCTGAGTTGGGTACTTTCAGCTAATTAAATATTTGCTGATATTTGAAAAGAATACTATTTTATTCTTTTTAAGTGTTTAAGAAATCATTTCTTTTTGCTAAATCAGAGAGGACATGCTTAAAAATAAAGGCTTAGGTAGTTGAGTGGGCAGGATGATTTAATTAAAGAGAGTTAAGTGCTTTAGTCCCAATACCCCTGTTTTGTGGGGGTGGGGTTGTTTTTGTTTTGTTTTGTTTTGAGACAGTGTAGCCCAGGCTGGCTTTGAACACCTGATCTTCATGTCTCTGTCTCCAACATACTGCAGTTACAAGCATGTGTCATCATGCCCAGCTAACCTCCATAAGATCTAAAAATACTATGTTTTATGTACCCAACACTAGATATAGCTCCACTCTCTATGAAGTAAATGAGCTTAATTGTATTTTGTAAAGGAAGTTAACTGAAATTTCTTGGTTTGTAATGGGTCAACTATGTGTAGGTGAAGTCTAGTCTGCTTCATTTACATCTGTCTGCCATCCAACAGGAAACCCACTGTCAGTAACGGATGTAGAAAAGATGGTGAATAGCAAGGAATTTATTTCATAGTATACATTTTCAAAAGATGGGTTATCAGTTGCTTTGAGTGGTGTTTCCAGTCACTTTACATGGAAATTCACCTTAAAATAATGATTAAATGCAGATATGGCATAAGCAAGTTCAATAATGTGACTCCTCAGCCATTCAACTCCAGCAGCTTTAGCAATATTGGACACCATACTAGACTCAATGAGGGCTCAGCAATGTATCATTCTATTCAATTAACTTAGTTTTATCTATGTTCTGTCTACTTCGAGCTACTTAATGTCAAGAACAGTACTTGTCTGCCTGTTCCATATTAATAAGCATGTTGACTATCTTAAAGGGTAAGTCTTAACTATTAACTCAGGAGTTAATTTGTAAACTCTATTATCCTACTTACATTAAACATACTCTTTGGTTTTTTTTTTGTTTTTTGTGTTTGTTTGTTTGTTTTTTACAGTAAACACACTGATCCAAATGAGAAAGCAACTCACCTTTGATTTGTTTTTTGTGTTTGTTTGGTTTTTTTTTTACAGTAAACACACTGATCCAAATGAGAAAGCAACTCACCTTTGAGATTTCTCCTTCATGGCCTTCCAGTTTGGTTATGCATTTTCTTGTGGTTGCATCATAAACTCTTGCTGTTCCTTTTGGAGAGGTATTAGAATAAACATTATTCCATCTGAAATGCAAGTCTTAAGTGTATCCTCTGACAAATGAGCTCTAGTTTGTCCTTCCTGTGTCAAGAGCCATGTCCAACCTTCTAAATGCAAGCTGTCCCACTACAGAAGGGGCTGGACAAGCCTTGCTCTCTGTCTCTGACATTGTTGCAAGAAGAAGGTGTGATATGTGGAATAAGAAAAAGTGGAATACATAGAATTATTTTTCATTTTGTTTTAGAACTGGTTTGTTTGCAAACATGAGGCATACAGCTGAAATGCTTCACAATCCAGTAACACAGAATTGTGGGACATGGTAAAAGGGAAGGTGGGGCACTTGAAATAAATTATGAGATGCACAGACTCACCCTTTGACATAATAGCTATGTGCAAAACAGAATGAGAATTGTCAGAAGTCAGTCTGCTGGTCCACATCCCACCTCCACAGTTTCCTAACCCTGTGCCCTGACACAAGCTGCTTTAGTTAATTTATGGATACCGTAGCTCCCTCAGCTATAAAATGGGGACAGCAATTAGACAAGCTGGTGTTAATTATCTTTTACTGTGCAACAAACTAATCCAAATTTCTGAACCTCAAACAATAAACATTTGTCATTTTGAAGATAAACAAGAATGTTCTAAATTGCAATGCTTCTTAGGAAGCACAGGGTTAGAAGATGTCCATAGAATACCCCAAAAGAAAACAAAATTGTTTTTGAAGTAATGGTTTTTAGAATGATGAAAGAACAAAATTGCTACTGGAATAAACAGCAGATAACAAGGAAATGAAAACTAGAATTGAACTTGTACTTCAGTAAACTCTTCATTTCTCAGCTTTCTGATTCTCCAAACCTTTCCCCAGCAAATGTTGCTGAATGACTTCTAATATTCTGTGCAACCTAACATTTATGTAATAAACATGTGCAGATGATTAATTATGTCCTGCTCTGCTTTCTACAACATAAGTTCATGAGGAATATGTTGAATTAGTCACAGTAACATAAACTACAACTTAAAATCAGAAAGAGTTTTCAAGGGCATGATGTTGAAACTAGTGTACATTATATGTGCTTATCAGGAAATAGGACAGATTATGTGGCATTCCACACTACTCTAAAAAAAATGACACGGGATATAGCTTGGCATTATACACAATAGACAGAGGTGGTGATAATGAAATATGAACTAAGGGAGTAGGGAGGTGAAGTATCACACAACTTCATGCAATGTTATCAAGGACTAGACCCAGGCTAAAGCCCATGGGTCTTTGCTATAGGAATGCAATATTGTGTAGAAACACACATTATTCTCAAGGATGTGCTGTGCATTCAGTATGATAGCTTATGCAGATTGTTAAAAGATGTATTTTATTTTAATTGTGTGTATCTGTGTGTAGGTATTGCAGGTGAGTGCAGGTGCCGGTGAAGACCAGAAGAGAATGGTGTAACCAAGAGAACTGAAGTTGCAGGCCATTGTGAGTCACCCAGCATGAGTTCTGGAACCAAATCCAGGTCCTCCTAAAGAGCAGCAAGCACTCTTAACCACTGAGTCATCTCTCCAACCCTTCTGATTCAGATTTTAAAGCGATAGAAAAGATATGGTATAGAGCCACATGTTACATCACTGAATGATGGAAGCATAGTGTGGTAGCATGCAGGATGTCCACCATCTTACACATAGAAAGTGTAGCATCACTAAGGTCCTCCAGGACATGATAATGTAGCATTACACATGATCACTGGGAAGAAAACAATAGTCATTGGGTGCCATAATATTTGGTATCAGAAGCTGTCACAGAAATGACACAGTGGTTTATGTGACAGAATGCATGAAGGAAATATGTCATTTAGATATATGGCATCACATATACTTAAAAGAAATATCACAACACATTGTAGACCCCAAGTTGACTGTAGGATTCAAACATCATCTTAATGAGGTGATACACAGTACTCTGGATACTCAGAATAAACTCTGTATAAAGCTGTGTGATGTTTTACCTCACTACTGCCATAGGTCAAACTACAGAAATCAGTAAAGTCGGTGAGATTGTCTAAATATGGAGTAATATCATAAAGGAGCTTTAGGGGGTAAGACAGGACAGGGTAGCATAATATGGGATCGCTAGGGATGTGGTGTTTATAAAATATTAAAGCTATGATACAGAAAATAGAAAGCATGGTACTTAGCTAAATGAACAAAACACACATAGTATCACATTAAATTTATCCAAGAAGGCTAGAAACTCATGTATATTATACACAATCAACATACATAGCAAGGCAACATAATGAGACATACATGCTTCAAATTGTCACTGAGTAATCAAAAGATGGCATATATACTATACATTTTAACATACTGTCATCATAGATAAGCCTGTAATATACTCTTGCATCATAAGTGTGTATCAAACTGGTGTGATAGATGTTATTTCACCAAACGTGGTCTTCAAAGAGATGATGATACCGACTCTCAGGTCATTTTCAAGGCCTTGGATCTTATCATGATGAATGGGACTCAGGAAGACCAGACAGATACAGAGTGTCACCAGACATAGTTATTAGGGACATGGAGACAGTGCAGCACCACATGTGGCAACAGAAAGATAAAAGAAACAGTGTATGCCACCATCTGTGGTCTTTCTGGAGATGAGGCACATTCAGTGAAGATTTCTGTGTTCTGATCAAGGTTATAAGACAATATTGTATGGGGCCTAGCTATTAAAGGGACATCAAAAACACAGGGCAGTAGCATAAGAGATGATTTGTATTCATGAACCATGCATTTATATCAGAATGATGACATTGAACCATTAAATACCATGTTTGTTTGTTTGTTTTTGAGAAAGGGTCTCATTATGTAGTACTGGCTATCCTGGAACTCACTATGTAGACCAGACTGGCCTTGAACTCATAAATATCCACCTGCCTCTAAGCTCTTTCTCTAAGCCCCTGATCATAACACCCTTTGTGCAAAGTTACAAAGCTGTATTATAAGAAGTACTACTTCCATGATATTGATTTTATGTATATAAATTCATAAATTTATACAGTATAGTAGTCTTTAATCAAGAAGGATCCTATGAGATATTTAGACTGTTATTATGAATTAAGGAATGTGATCACCAAGAAAGAATGAAGACAGGGAAGCGGGTAGGGACTAACAAGAACTAAAATCATTTAAAAGGATATCATTTTGAGAGTTTTTATTTCCTGATACCAATATTTTCTTTGTGCCACAGTATAGGATTGTGTGGTCTTGGCCAAAGAATAGAGAGCTCAGAAGAAGCTCACACATATGGTTCCCACACCATTGCCCTGTCCATTCCAGTCCAATGGAAGAAATAAAATGTTATATGGTTATGGGTATGGGAAGCAAAGAGCTTGCACTTCTATTTACTCCATATACAGAAACTACTGGGATAAAATGTAAAATCAAAAGCTATAAAATCTCTATATTGTATTTTGCTACATGCAACAAGTTCCCCAAGACTCAGTAGGTTAAAGACTTGTTTGTTACCTGATAGTTACTGTGTGAAGAACTCAAGAGGGGCTTTGATAGCTAAGGATCTCCTTGCTGGGTTAAATGGGCATGCAACCATGCCCAGCTTAAATACCATTCTTTATGGCTATCCAAAAGAAGACAGGTATAGTGACATCACACATGATGTTTAAGTTCATGATTAATATATAGGGTAGTTTCATATATCATCAAAAAGATGAACCATACTAGAATGTTACTTGAGAATATCATGGATTTCACAAACCATATAATATCATCATACATCATTGTCAAAAGGGGATGAAAATAGAGTTTTCATACTATCAGAGACATAAATAATGGCAAGGCTTCACATAGCTGTCACAATATATCACATTTAAGATCATATTATGACATAAAATTTCAATATGAGGCACATGGTGTTCTGTTACACAGTTTGCCATGTATATGAGGCAGACATCAGAAACACAGGTCTGTATCATCAGTTTCACCCATAGCACAACAGGATTACACATGGTTATCAAAGATGCAAGGTAGTCAGCCATATGTAGTATTCTAAAGTGTATGCATCCAGTGTAACATGATGCATTGTTGCCATGCACATTACCTACAGAATAGTTATCAGCAATTATGTAGACATACAATGTCATATAACTGGCAAAGAAATGACATGTGAATTCAGCATCATGTATGACCTTCAAGAAGATTACTATACAAGCATTGTACATATCTGATAGAGTCAGTGAGATAATAAACCCATTGTAACACAGATG